AGTCACTTACATTTTCGCACAGTTCGCAATTGGGCTCTAAAATGTCCAACACTGCCCTATATACAATCCTCACTAAGTGTTCGAGGACCATGGCACTGAACAACATTCCAATGTTGAAACGCCTGATAAAAACCATTTTTAAAGTAACAACAAGTTAAGCACGATAAACAAAAGAAATTGATCTGTATAGTATGTCGAAAGGCACTATGGAGCAGTATATATAGGCTTAAGCGAAATACAAAAATTAGGCACCCGGTAAATTGCACTATAGTCTAAAGATGCATGTTTACTTATGTATTTCCTCTGTCCAAGATTTTGCCATTAATGACAAGATATGAAAAGGAACAATTTGATAACAGCAGTTTTGCTTGTAATATAACATCTAGAGATACATATACATGCATTTGAGCTGTAAAAATTATTTCATAGAGGATATATCACACATTTACATGACTGACATAGAAGGTATATCACATATTCATATGACTAACATATATTGACCAACATGTCAATTGGAAGAATGATATAATAAGAGAAACATAGGCTGTGGTACAATATGTCTAGCTTTAACTAAAGTAAAGACAGATATGAAAGTCAATAACATACTAATCAGCTCCATATAAAATATCTGAGCGCATCACGAATGCTTTTGAAATATATATACTCAGTTTTCTAATTAACAATAGATTTTCAGTATCATTAATTCTATGAATTTAAACATATTTGGAGATCTCCAGTAACACATTGGAATAGTTTGTGTTCTTAATTGAGAGAACATTCTACATTGTAATAAAAAATATAATTCATCTTCTAACACATTGCAGAATGTGCATTTGCGTTCATATTATTTGTACACTGGCAGGTCTTGCCCATCTCCTTGTTTCAATACATAATCTTATTTTCAGCACTTTATGTGTGTCAGGATTGTTTACTTTGCTCTTTTGTAAATGAAGAGCTTTATAAAGTTAGTGGACTTTTTAACAAAATTAATACTAAACATAAATTTACATATTGTAGTTAAGACAATTAAAAGACTAGTAAGTAAGTAAGTAAGTAAGTAAGTAAGTAAGTAGGTAAGTAGGTAAGTAGGTAAGTAAGTAAGTAAGTAAGTAAGTAAGTAAGTAAGTAAGTAAGTAATTGAGTGAGTGAGAGAGTAAGAAAGTAAGTAAGTCAAGGTAGGTAGGTGGGTAGGAAGGTGGATTGGTGATTGGATGAGTGAGTGATTGAGTGAGTAAGTGAGTGAGTGAGTGAGTAAGTAAGTAAGTAAGTAAGTTAGTAAGTAAGTTAGTAAGTAAATAAGTAATTAAGTACCTCCAGGGTCAAGGTTGCACTTGCTCATTCAAGGTCATCATTGTCTATTTGAGGGTTTATGTCGTGTCCGGTCCATAACTTTCTTATCGTTAAAGGGATTTTGTAAATACTTGCCACAATTGTTTACAATAATGAGACGATGTGCCTTGCGCAACAACCGGTCACCTTCCTCCAAGCTCAAGGTCACACTTGGAGTTTAAAGTTTAACATAGTCTGTTATAGAGTAACTTTTGTGTCCGGTCTAAACTTTTTTTATAGATCGAAGGATTTTTGTAAATAATTGCCACAAATAGTCACTTCAATAAGACGATGTGTCATGCACAACACCTGCAGCCCTATTTATAAGTTCAAGGTCACATTAAGAGATCAAAAAATTAACATTGTCTGTTTTAGGGTATATTTTATGTCCGATCTAGAACTTCTTCGGGATTTTGAAATTACTTGGCACAGATTGTCACAATAATTAGAGGATATGTCAAGTACAACACCTGCACCCTACCTCCAAGGTCAACGTAACACTTAGGGGTCAAAGGTTAACAGAGCGTGTTATATTGCATATTTTGTGTCCCGTACATAACTTCTTCATAGATTAAGGGATTTCGAATATACTTTGCACAAATAGTCACAATGATAAGATGATATGTCACGCGTAAGACTTGTGTCCTACCTCCAAGGTCAGGAGTTTAAAAATATTGTCTACAAATGATCACAATAATAAGACAATATGTCAGGCGCAAAACATGGGTTCCTTCCTCCAAGGTCACACTTAGAGGTCAAAGATTAGTCTGTACTAGGGTATAATTTGTGTCCGATCTATAACTTCTTCATAGTTCAAGGGATTTTGAAAATGTACCCCTACCTCCAAGGTGAAGGTCACACTTAGAGGTCAAAGCTTAACATGATAGATTTTTTAATTTCGGGTTTCATTTTATTTTTTTAAAAAATATTGTTGCATTTGCAGATCTAGCATTGATCATAATTTTGGACTGAAAGTCCTGAGATCCATACCTCAATCTTTTGAAATAACATAATTTTATGCTTCATATAAAACCTGCCCGAAGCGGGAGACGTTGGTAACTCTGATACAAATTCTTGTTTTTTTATATTTCTACAGAATCATATTTATGAACTTGCCAAGCGGTAACTACAATATCAGTCACCCAGCTGCAGATGCTAAATATTCGGTACTTTTGATGGACAAAAACAGGACAATTGCTTTGGTTATTATCTTGGATACACTTTTTAAAACAGGTAATTTCTATCAATTTGTTTGAAATTCATTGTTTCAAATAAGTGAAACAGTTTCATTAGGTATAGTATTACATAAAGTATTTTTGATGAACAGAGTTGCATATTTTTCGAAAGTTTCATCTTATTTTTTTTTCTGAATTAAGTAAAGAGAATAAATTGCCAAAATGTTTTTGTATGTTCAGCTTAATCAATAGGTAAACAAAAACGTATACTCAGCGCAATCAATCGCAGAGGAAAACACTATTTTTTGTTCAGAATGTTTTAAGTCGAAAAATACTATGCAATGACTTTCAAGTATATTAGAAATAGATTACTGAATTAACATACATGTTCTGTTCTTTAAGTTTTGGCTAATGACCTCAAAACACTTGACACATCATCGCTGTAGGTTCTAAACTGCCAGGGACTTTGGTTTTTTCATTTAAGGAATCTATCGAGCTGGCTTACGCAACATCAGTAGTTCTACTCAGGGTGGAAAACCTGAAGCTTTCTTTCATATTTTTAGCTTGAATTTCGCCATTTCTAATGTGTTGGTGCATGAACTACATGTACTTTTATTTTTTCAGGTGAAAATAACAATTTCAGTTCTATTGAAGGCACAAATGATGAACAGAATGATGCATTTTGTAAGAATTGTAAGGTCTAAATAACACTTATTAATCTTCTTGGAACGTTTTTAAAAAGGTAGACAGTTTAATGCATTACACATAAGGTGCATTGTCAGTGTTTCTTTTTGCTCCTTGCCCGTGTACGGCGTCTGTTTATTGTGTAGATCATCCGTATTTTTGCATTTCTGTTTGTTAGCTGGCGAAAAAGAACTAATATCAACTTTTATGCGCTGATAAATGAAAATTACTGAGTCTGATGCAAAAGTGTTGTTTCTTCTGAAAAAAAATATTTTTGAATCGATGTATTCCTAACATTCTTCAATAAAACTACGAATATATCAAACATTCCTCGAATTTGCTTTATTTGGAGTCTGAAGGGAAAATAAGTACATAAATAGAGAAAAACAAATACCTAAAGAAAGCCCAACAAGGCAAAATTGTAAAATGTTGCAGGCTCGGTTTGATTGAGCCTGTTCATGGACGGTACTGGAAAGTGCAAGTTACCGTCCACGCCCCCTAGCACCGACTTAAGCAGAATTCAACGTTTAAACATAACAGTGGTGAAATTTTGAATTAAGAAACATCCGCAGATGTGTTCAAACGAGTTTATTTTATATAAAATGGCCTCAGTGGATTAGCCTTTTTTTCTTTCGCTGATTACATAAATACCACTTTTTACATGTTATGAAATACATGCTGCTACTGTAACTGATGCCAGGGTGTCACAATCGAATGGACTAATGATCACCGTCGTTGTCTCACCAATTATTATTGTGTTCATACGACTTGTATATAAATGATTTTGCAGTAACCGAATCTTCAATCATGTTTATAGGCTACATGGCGATTTATCCATTACACGTAATTCTTCGTTTTTTGAAGACATCATAACGACAAAAGAAATGCTTTGCACGAGCGAGACTAAAACAACATTGTTTCTGTAACGAATACTGTTTTACGGAAAGTACATCATGAAGTTACTTGAACGTCTCCTCAGTTATTTATTTCTATTCCGAAAATAATATTTTCCATTATTTATAGAAGAATATTAATGGTGAAAAATGGAGCCCGGCAACAAACAAGACATAAGTTACTATGGTTCTACATATTTTGGGTGTTTATTTAGAACTTTCTTTCATATTTACACAATGTATACGTATTACGTTAATACATAATAACTGTAAATAAAAAGAGGAAATATAAGAAAATAAAAGATTTATGCAAAATTCCTTGAGTTTATCAATCAGCCCTCCTACAAATACAATATTCCTCATTTCAGCAACCACTGTCAAAAAGAGGACACAAGGACTGTAAAGGATGCAAACAGACAAATTCATGGATAGATTTTCGGTGTATTTATATCTTTCAGCTCCACCCAAATGTTTTTCTTGTGATTACACTTCCGGACTTTCTTACTGTGACAAAATTATGGCATGTCCTAATAAGCAGGTAAAAGAATGACTAATAATCTTCCATTCACAAGAATGAATATCTAGGGAATTTAAATTGAAAAATTGAAAATTCGGATTATAATACGTACTTTTATTATTTGAAAAAAATGAGGGCTATAAAATTTATGTGTTTCTGGCAACCAGACCTTACGTTGCCTGAACTATTTAGGAAAGGATGTTGTCTATGATTCACGATTATTTTAATAACAACACAGAAACGAAACAAAGCACCACACCAATTGTTTTTGACTGTTGCCAGTTGCAGTTGTTTTGGCTTAAATACTTGTCACGGTCCTAGCACTGGTTTTCTTTTTAAATAAATCAGACATAAGCACTTGAAAAATCAATGTAAGAATAATTTATTGAAAATGATACAAAATGCTAAGACAGCTGCCTAATTGTATATTGTGCGTCGGATAGTTTTTCCTCTTTTTCTATAAATTGCAGACATGTTATGTTCAGAGTTTTACAAATTTAAATGGGCACACTCACTACAGATCTGGATGTACAGACTATCAGGTAAAAATAGATACTAAATTATTTGACGTTGCAGAGGACAATTTTTATTTAAATAATTTTGTGATTTTTAGATTTATTCCAATTTAAAAAAATGACACTGTTAATTAACAAACCAATCCGCTAGAAGAAGAGTTGAAACAGTTGTGTACAAACATAATGATGATTTTTTGAGATTTTTAACGAAGCTACACAATTAAGTATTGTAAAATTTGAACTTTTAGGGTTTTGCATACAATATGATAAAATTATTGCCGTGTGCATTATTACAAAAAAACTAAGGAAGAAGTCACCAAACAATAAGCCAAAATGAATCATTAAAGTGTATCATAAAATAAATATATAAATCACAGACCTGTCGTCTGAACGAGCATGGGGGCAATTCTAAGGGGACATGTCTACAATGTTATGATGGTGATTTCTGTAACTCACATGGATGTGGAGATAATGGTATAATTAACTTTTTCTTTTATTTTTGGAGATATTTGGATAATGCTAATCCAGATAACTGAAACCGATAATGGCATGAATATACCGTAAAATAATGTCATACGAGTAATATTGAACGTTTGAAAATATTTAAAGGTATCTTTATGCGTAAAAGAATAAACCTACTTACTGCTATATAATTTTCCAATTCAATGGGAGAACACGGTGCTAACGTGGGTATCTAGTAATAGCCATCTATTTATAACAGAATATTTTACTACCAACACTACCAGGCCATTGAAATTCCAAATTCCAAAAATATCTACTTGCACCGAATTGACATTTTTTAGTTTAGGTAACTTTAGTTAGTTACAGTTAACAAAATACAATATTTTGTATTAACATGTCAAATAATAAGACCTTCAGGACTTCTTAATTATGAAAGGTTCCGATTATGTTACTATAACAGGTTTCCAGCCAAAGCAATCACGAGGCTCTCTTTGTCTTGACTGTTCGCACGTGAGTGACCCAAAAGAGTGTGACAAAATAACTATCTGCTCCTCAAATGAGGTTTGCTTACATTTATTCCCTAGTTTTATTATCAAATAATAAGAGTTTTATTAATATAATATGAACTTGGTATACATTTGTAAGTAAATTAAATTTTAATTAAGTAACATCAGCTTTATACAGTAATCTAAGGCGTATATTTTAACCGTCATTGTAACATTGATAAGCACACTTTAATTCATGTTCAGATCATATTACTTGTTAAAAAAGATTGCATTCAATATGATATGGTAAACTACTTGAAATTTCTTCATCTTCTGTGCTTAGGTATGCCGCATCGAAGAGTTTCCATGGGGAGACAATGCAATATTTCACATTGGATGCGCATCAGTCAATGTATGTCGAGACATTTTGAATTTGTGAGACGGAGAGTATATGTATATTATAACAGTATCAAGCCGATATAAACACTGCATTTGGGATGCTTCCACTTGTTACTACATTAATTATCTAAAAGAATCATATTCTCTTATTCTCACCAGTATGAATCAATCCTTGGAACAAAAAAAAATGTTAAAAACAATATTTATACAGTAAATGCCGTCTCTTCCGTCAGATTTTACAAATTACGTCATGTAGGAAGATAAGTAGCGCATTTATCCTCTACTTTTGTCACATGGAAATAGTATATATCAGCTTACAATAAAGATCTTTCAATCGTTCTGATATTTTATTTATAAAACAGGTTCTTTTTTAAAATACATAATATGTTATTTCAGGATTGTGCTATAGAACACCGAAGCTTGAACCCTTTCAACCAGAGGTCAGTTCCAGTCTGCACAGAATGCTGTCGGGAGGATTATTGCAATTATTATACAAACTGTACAGGAAGGACCCATAATCAGCAACCGATTATTGTTGGATAAATTTATCTGTATATGACAATGTTTTCGAATCTTTTTTCGAGTATAATTGATTGAAATGAATCAAAGAAAACTATTTATTTGATAAAATATTTTAGAATTGTTACCCCCAAACCATTAACACCCGGTTATTTTCTATGAGAACGATTTATGGAAATTGAGTATAATTCTTTTCCGTGTATCCCATATGATTTAATAAGCTTACAAAAAGCCATTATATTTTCTTTACCGTTTTTATAATAATAAAGTGCGACATGAGGATAGATACATAGACATGTGGTTTTCAGCGGAGTTTGAATGTTTAATGACTTCTTTTATGTTTCGAGAATGCATCCACTTTGCAGAAGGTGTATCTGTGCTACTTGGATGGAAAACAGGCCTTGACCACGCTCGGCATAACAGACTTTTTACAAACTACTTACGTATGGTGTTGACTACACTACATTCGTTGAATGTCAATTCAGAATGTCAAGTTTTCTATAAAAGATTGATATTTGATAGCTTTATTGTCCAACAAGGAACAAGGCAAGGCGGTAAGAAATCGCCATTGATGTATCTTGTCTATATCAATGAATTCATTGAAGAACTAAAGGCTGGAGGAGAAGGAATATGCATCTTTAATTTCAATGTGTGTTCTCCAACTGTAGCAGACGGCATGATACTTGTATCGTTATCTGAAAATGGTTTAGACAAAATGCTAAGTACATACTGAGACTACTTAAAGAAAGAATGGAGATACAATTATAATGTAGAAAAATGTAAAGCTGTCATGATGAATGGACGACACAAATTAAAACATTGCAGACGATTTATTATGCGGCTTTACATTATTTCTGAATCCGAAAGCTACTGTCATTTAGGTGTTATCAGTGAAGAGATTCTGTCTACTAAACCTAACATTAAAAACGCATGTTCAAAGCTGAAGAATACGTACTTCAGCATAGCCGGAATTTTTTATTTGGGTTCTATCAGCCCTGTTATTTTAAGTAAAATATACAAACCTGTGGTGCTATCCAGAGCACTTTATGGTTGTGAAATAGGGAGCTCCTATTCTAAAGAGAATATACGTTTACTCGAGACTGCTCAAAACGTCTGTTTAAAACATATGCAACAGCTTTCAAGAAACGCATCTTCAAACTATACTCGTAGTTGTCTTAATATTACGAGTGTTGAGACTCTGATAGAATATAGGAAACTGCAGTTCTTTGGGCAATTGTGTAGATTGTCCGGCATATTTTTAGCGAAGAAATATTCAATTTTCGTTTAACCAGATATTATAATGGATTTCCTGAACGTTTTGGTTTTATTCCTGATATATAAAGGACCCTCTGCAAATATTCTCTTACTGATGTAATGTACAATTACTTACAATCTAGTTTATTTCCGTGTAAATGGCAGTGGAAAGATATTCTCGTCAAAGCAGTGCTTAAGTCGGAAAACCAATCTCAAATAGATAGTATTGTTTTAGCTGTACATTTGTGGGTTTTTAATTAACTTATTTGTGTAAGCCAGTGTTCGAGTCTATGGTTCTTAAGCAGCAGGAACACTCCTTCCCTGTCACATATCTGCAGGACACTCTCAAGAAACAGTGCTTTATTGATTTCACGACAATATGACCGTCAGTGCACAAAATGTTAACTTAATACAGAAAATATTATCCTAAACCAAATCTGTTTCTGTATCAGAAATACCAGAGAATGCGAGAAATTGTGGAACATGCTTATAGACTGTCTGGGATTTACTTGGTTCCGTGAGCTAATAATAGATTGTCCCCATGAACAATGTACAACTATAATGGGGCTCGCCGTGAAAAATGACGCACGCATTTTCATTTGCTTCTCATTAACTAAATCACTATTACGTTAACTAGATTAAATGGTGTATTGGCATGCATTGTAATACATGTTTTTGACGTTAAATGTTGTATATATTGTATTTGTACCAATGAGAAATGTTTTCTGATACGTTTGTTTTATCAGTAATTATGTACACATTATGATAGATTTAATCTTCGAGTGATAGAAAACTAAAATATAAATACTTCTATGAATAAGTAACATATCTCATGAATTATTTATTAAAGTTTGACACTATTCAAAACTGAATATATACCTATATTTAGCACTATTTGCCAATTCCCCTTCATTATTTTTAAGAAATCAATAAAATGTGTTTCCTTCTTTAAAAGCTTTAATTTCGAATTCGTTAAAGCTATACAAAGAAGAAAGGCTTATTTTGTTTGTTTTGTTTTGTTTGTGTATTTCAGGCACGAACGGGCACCTGAGTAGAACCACCTACGTTCCGTAAGCTAGCTTCCTCACATGAAAGAATCAAAAGTCCCTGTCGGGATTCGAACCCACAGCGGTGAGGGGGAAGTGGTTTGAAGTCAACGACTTTAACCACTCGGCCACGGACGCCCCAGAAATGCTTATATCATTTTAAGGATACACTTGTAGTTGCCATTTTTCTTCTAGATTTTAGTTGTAAGATAAAAGATCGATAAATAACTAAAAAAAAAACAGGGGCGAATTATTTTTTGCCATAGAATGAAAGTTTTAATCATATCAATTATATATTAACAAGCAATTTAAATCCCACAATATATGATTTTTGTTTCTGCTATGATATACTTTTGCTATGTTATTACATAATATTTAAATTGTATTATACTTGTATTGGTACTCTGTAAATACTGTTATGCTCTTCATCTTTGGAGGAAATAAAAGTATCTATCTATCTACTGATCCCCAGTTTTTCAGAGATTCAAACATTTTTGTACCTGAATACACTTATGATAGAATTATATTATTTTATGAATTGATATTTAAATAGGATAATTTTCTTACATAGGATTGACAGTTAGTATTTATTTAATTACCTTAATAGAAAATAAGGGTAATTTGTAGTTGTTTTGTTAGATGTTCATTGGAAATATTGATGTTTAAGTGTATAAAGCTATATATCTGCTTAAAAATTGATTTTGAAAAGAATTACCTCCAAAAATACCTGTGAGTTCAGTATTAGAGTGAGTATATTCCTATTAATGTTATTTTCTTCTACAATACACGCTGTATCGTCTAAAATTGATAAATATGAGAAGTTGTTGAATTCTTCATAACTAATAGATGTATTAGAAATAGCACCCGTCGACTGCCTTCTTGCTGTTATAACCGGCAATTGCGTCGGAATAGATTGTGAAAGTTGAAAGAAAATCGAACATATAGCACTTCTGGATTAGAAGATGACAAAGACAAATGTGACACACACAAGTTTTTGTTAATATCAAATAAGGTGCCTATGTAATGTTTATTTCAATTTCAACATGACCTACGCAGAAGTCAGTCAGAGGCGAATTTATTTATTTAGTTTTAATGGGCTGACATTTAAATTTATTTAAGATTAAATTATACATATGTATATAATTAATAACTTTTAGAGTAATATTACCGCTCTACATTACAAACCTTTAACGTGCGAAACATTGTAAGTTGAAGCTTGTGCTCATATTTTAATGATAAAATCCAAGAAATAGTTAAATTTTGCTACCTACTAGTAATTGGAAATTTTTAATCATAATTATAATGATAAGAAAAACTTGATAATATTATTTATCAATAATTATGTTTGCAAAGATACTTTTTTTGTTTCAATATGTCTAACTTTCTATGGTAACGTATTATATTGGAAAAAATATTGATAAATGCAACAATTTCATTCAAATTGTTTGTATCGTGTAAAGTCTGAAGACTATTTAACACTAGTTATGTTGTAATAATGCTAAATATTTAGCCACCGATGTCTACGGCTTTTGGTGCTCAATTCCTAAGCATCAAAACTTCAAAACCGGTTTAAATAGACGATAAACAATGCTGAGACCGATATTTTTTATTAATTCTATTTAGTTCCGCCAATTGTTTCTTTCTTTAGAAAACACATTCTTAACTTAAGAATCATACACGTTTTTTTTGTGGAACGACAAGAACATGTGATACGAAAGGTTCTACGATCACTGCCGGACACACCTGCGGATGATTCTAAAGTAAAACAATTTCCAATTTTTTATATCCCAGAGTTTTTAAATTATGCTGGAGCTGGTGACTCAATAACATTTATTGACTACCAGAAACAGATTCAATCAAACAGAGCTGGCATTAAGTTTCAGATTTGTCTTTGGCGTCTTCTAATCCAGTAGTGCTATATTTTGTTCTTCATGAATTTTGTTCTTTCCTATTTTGTAATATATATATGGCCCTTCGTGATCATTACCTTGAATACTTTTATTTACCGTGTTGAAGATCAAATAATCAGGAGCTAGGGGCGTGAGAGGTATTGCATATTCAATTATTTGTCATAAACAGACGTTCAAAACGTGTATATATTTCCATCATTTGATTTATACTTACATCGTTCTCTTTCTGTTAGATTATTATACTCATTTGCAACAGGAGTCACGTGTTACCCCGTTGCTCAATCTCCAGCATTTCAAATCTGATTTATTCATATACATTAATATCGTTTGATCATATTGTCTCAATGCACGTGATATAGATAGTGAATTTCATTTTTGTATGCTTTCGTTTTGTTTATAATGATATGCGTAATAAGTACTGAACGACATATTATTATAATAGACCTTGTGGTTTTAAATTAGTAGCTCTAATGCAGAGAACTATAAGCAACATGTATACAACTTGAATTATGTAAATATTTTTGTAGCTTTTGTAATACGTCCGAGTCAAACATATTATAGTGTCTTCTGCTTCAATTTAAAACACACTGTCCAACTTTCCGTGTTATGTTTCATCAAATACCATGCTTTTTCGGTCATGTAACATTTGTGTAACGACTTATGATATTTAAACAAGTAAATTGTAATATTGAAAGTTTTGAGCTTATGTAATACGTAATGATAGGTTAATAAATAAAATACAAAAAATCTTTGATTCTTTTTTACCTTTACCTGCTAGAAATGAAAGTTCGTAGCCTTTGCTACAAACATACAGCCAACCCAACATGCACATCCGGGCAGTCTGATCTGACTGTTGATAGCTCAATAGTAATATTTTGATACAAACTAATCTACCCGTCGTGGAGTCTCTTTATTACCCAAACGAATCTTTGATTATTATTAACAAGGGCGATCAGTGCTTACATATGTGTCACCTCATTATAGCCATATCTCGGCAAAAAGTCATTCAATCTAAAAACCTGTGTAAAATGCACAATCCTGTAAAGTTTCATTGAAAATGTATTAGTGGTAAAACAGAAGTAATCCGGACAAATTTCAAAATTAAAATCATGCAAAGAGCCAAAACTCTGACAAAACCAATGCACCAAAAATGTTGATGACATGCACAACAAGACATGGTATTGATCATTTCCCTGAAGTTTTGATCAAATTGCACCAGTAGTTTCTGAGGAGTAGTTCAGACAAACCTGTGTACACATTTTTTATTCAAGGGCAATAGCTAAAAGTTATTCAGGCAAAATATTAAGATTTGTGTATTATGCATAAGAAATTGACACGCCAATAAATCCTGTAAAGTTTCATTGAAATTGCATCAGTGGTGTGAGAGGAGTAGTCCGGACAACTTTATTTTCATTCAAGGGTCATAACTGGACCAGACATCAGTCAAGCGAAATATTTATGCAATCTGTACTTGACCTACCAATCAATCCTTTAAAGTAACATTGAAATTGCATCAGTGGTATAAGAGGAGTAGTCTTGACAGACTTCGAAACATAAAAATAATTAAACGGCCAAAATTCTGACAAAATTCACTGAACCATAAAAATCCAATGATATGAATAACTTGATATGACACTGATCATTCCTGTAAAGTTTGGGTGAAATTGCAACAGTAGTTTTTTGAAAAGTAGTCCGGACAAGCTTTTGTGTATCTGGAAACATACAAAAACACCTCTATTATTCAAGGGTCATAACTGGCCCAAAAATCATTCAACCGGAAAACCCGTGCTACAGATCAATCCTGTAAAGTTTAATTGAAATTGCATTAGTGGTATATGAGGAGTAATCCGGATAAAAAAAATTAAAGGTCTAAAACTCTGACAAAAATCATTGAACATGAAATTGCTAACAATATGCGTAACTAGACTTGGTACTTATCATTCCCGTAAATGTTGGATGAAATTGTATCAGTTGTTTATGAGGAGTAGACCGGACAAATTTCGTGACGGACAGACAGACGGACGGGCAGACGATGGAGAAGTTATTACTACATGTCGCCACTACTCCGTGGTGGCGACACAAAAGCTCAAAGAAAAGAAACAACATTTCTGAATATACTTCTGTTTATTACATAGCCTAAAATGTAGATTTTCAAAAAACCTGCGAACATTATTTTTGTCTAGCTTTGGTAATTCATGGATCCGTAAGTAAGTGCATATATAATTAGTAATCGTATGTTATTATGTTACGTTCTCATGTAAATGTGTTAATTAATTGTTATATCAGTCACTGAAAAGTGGATTAAAAGAGTAGTCTATATATAGCATGACGAAAAGCATTTATATATCTTATGATTGTAAATAGATTTACATTCTTAAACGTATTATAAAATCGCGTTCAATATTTTGATACATGAACAAGATTGAAAAATGTTTTTTATGTATCAAAGGAGGCTTTATCCAAAAGTAAAAAGTGTGTGCATGTCATAATCTTACATTGCTCTATATCAGTGACATAGTTCGAAGAAACACATTGATGTTATTGAGAATGTATGTAGATCAATTTATTCGTTTATTATTTTTCTGAAATAAAACAGAATGTCTCTATTACATATATAACCCTTGAATATTTTGCAAAAAGGAATCAAATATCAGTAACATACTTTTAAATTATTAGTCAGTATCATATACAGGTACATGTACACAATAATCATTAATGTCGTCTTGTTAAACAGTGAACGTAAAAGCAATTAAATTCATATTTCATTATTTATCAACAATAGTATACGTGCTATGCAGCAGAAAACCAAATTATTAATACATAGAAAATAAAAGTTTTATGAACTATAAATGATAATTATTATCTTACCTTGCAAATGACCGAACATTTACTTTCACATTCTGTATCATGCCAGCGATTGTTATTCTTCACATGGTATACAACACAGTTCTGTCGTGTGATACCATCAGGTTGCCCTGATTCATGTTGTATAATTATAAGACTTTATTATAATTATAATGATTTTGTATAATTATGATACTTTTGTAATCATAAAACTTTTAAATTTTCATATTGTTATTTGATTGAAAAATGAATTAATTCGTTAACTGAAACCAATAATGTGCATACTGTGAAAACATAGTATGAAGAAATATCAAAACGATTCTCCTGTAAAAAAAATAAAATATTTGATACATTACAATACAATACAATAAAACGAAATACTATACAACGCATCACAATAGAATACAATAACAATACAAATCATTATAATTTTAATTATGATAGCATTATACATACAGTGTCATAAAGTCAGAAAATTATTCATTATACTTTTGTTATATTTTCACTTAAACATATTATTCACAGTAACAGTATTTGAATAACACAATGGTTTGTGGGTAACATTAAAAGTATCAATCCAAGGAAAATACTGTTACCCGAGGCGTATTTTTATAAGGGATGATATTTTTACTGTTACTCACAAACCCATGTGTTATTTATTTTATTACCCCGAACAAAAATACTGTGATGATCTGAAATTGTCATCTAAATCTAACTGTAATAAAATAAAACAACAGTAAGTTTTAAGTGTTTTAGGCCTACTTGAGAAGTTTTATTTTTCTTTTATTCTTTAAGCAAGTGATGATATATACTAGTCATAAACATACACTAAGCTGTGTTTTATTTAGAATACAAAACACCAACCCATTTATACGGTTATGATCTGTGAAATCTGATCCTTCTGTTTCCAGAATATTCTTCGCATGCTTTTTGACAAAATAACGATGATATCCTATGTCTGTCCAGCATATCTGTCACTTTTCACTTATTAAAATTGTTAAATAAACCTTTGTTGCATGCTTAAATCGTCTGCATGTTCCAGTTTGACACATAATTATATACATTGCAATTACTTCCGTTGAAAATGGATGTTTACTTTTTGACTATTCAACAAAAAGATATTTTTACACGAAAAGAACATCAGGGTACAAACAACTAAATTTTATGGGTGTCATATTTACTCCAGAGATGTTGATGTCCTATCGGGGTTTAACGTCGAAAATAAGAATGAACGAAAAAAAATGGCGGCGTTTTTATTCCATTTTATTTCGCAAAAAGACCACGTGACCAGATTTTATACTGTTACCTATGTAACTATTGTGACTATTCTTAGTCATTTGGTACACTTGCATTAACAGAGAACTGAACGAGATATGATTTATTGATTGTACAAGTCATAATATATATATATATATATATATATATATATATATATATATATATATATATATATATATATATATATAATATATATATATGTGTTTTTCGTGTCATCAATATATTTAGACTGACAAATGTTGTCATGTCTTAATATCACTTTATACCCGATTACTCAAACTTCCTTATCCTAAGCAAGGGTAACAAGTAAACCTCATTTTTCAGTATAATTAATGCACTGAGGTGATAATGATAATCAGCAAGTTTGCAAGATGGGTCCATAACTTGCCGAGCAATTACGGTGTGATGTAAAATCCTTAAGCAAATGCAATGTAAGAGATCTTTTTTTCCTAAAGAGAGAGTAATATAGACACAGTAAAGATCTGATGGGTTGAAAGAGAATGCAACACAGTAATTTTTACAACCCCTAAAACCGACGTAAGAAGATAACAAAAGAACAAAATACTTGATAAATGCAAATTGTAGTTTTTAATATTAATATGATTATGCATTCATACATAATTAATACAATACTCACCAGGAGCCCATTTTATAAAATTGGCAGGCGCATTTGTATCTGTCCATTTCCAATTTCCTTCAAATCTCTTGTCATTTAATCCCATAAACCAATCAATTGTGGCTATGTGAAAGGTGCAAAAGCTATAACAATGTTTTGTTTATCTAACTTCTGAATATGTTTTTAAGTATTCTGTACATCATGAAGGCAAAATATAATTATTATTACATGAATCATTACATAAAAGGTGTACGGAAACAACTTGGTAGAATTTATCCAATACATATAATATTTTTTCATTAACATTTGTGGATCATGTACACAATTTCACTATCGTAAAACTTATGAATTATTGCATTCTGTAAGGGTTCTTCGTAATGTTAAATTCCATTCAATTTTGCTTTTTTTATGGCGAAAGCATAAGTGTTTACAGACGAGAGAGTAATATTGCATTCTGATTATTGGTATCTTTGGTATCTTTGATTGGTTCAAAGTCAGTTATTTATCCTCGAAGAGTTGTAGAAGTCGTATCAGCAATAGCGGCCTATTTACAGTTTGATATAACGATTTTTAGATGAAAATTTAGTTTTCAATACAATCAATTGAAACACTAAAAATATACTCTGTAGTGTTTAAATGTTCCTCTTTTACATATTACTTGTGTATAAAAATGTATCTATAACAATACATGAAAAACTATATTAAATAAATTATTTTTCTATGGAAAAGAAATAGCTCTACCACTTACATTTAAAACGGCTAAGAGTTCTAACGATAAAGGAATTTTCCGCTTCATCTTGTACATACAAAATGACAGATGCCTTTTGCTTACAGAATATCTGAAAACGAATGATTTTTATGCATTATTGGTTTTCTATTTGTCTCCCAGAGGCTGTCTAATTTCAACCTGACTTCATGTTAAACACATAGGATAATACTGAATAACAGCAGGATTTTCATTGGTCATTTTAAGCTCATTACTATCACCACAGTAAAGCCATAAAATCACACAGTCAATGACTTAGCTTTATGGAAAATACATGCTTACTGTGCGGTTCGGTAAAATTTTCAAATGACCTATGATTAAATACAAGTACATAGCCAGTAAAAATAGTTACAAATTTCCTCTCCCTAAAAAATGTGGCAATAGTTCATAGGTCATAGTTTAATGTTAATCATTGTGGAAATGGTTATACTCGTTTTATTACGGCTCATTATCTTTTTAAAGATATTTCTTTATATGCAGTATAATATCAATATAAATATTGAAATGTCTATTTTCTTTAAATCTATAACATGTTATATCCTATAGATGGCTATTTTGGTCATTTTTGCCTCTATATTTCAAATTGTGATTACGTATAGTGAGCATTCTTTTATTGCTGAACATACTATGATAACATGCTATATACATATAGTGGCTGCATCAAGAAATTCATTTGATTATTGACTAATATGCAATCAAATAATGTGCACCCGAATGCCAAATAGGATATTGCTATCACAAGACGTGTTTTGAATGGCAGTATCTAAAGCTTATGCATAAACGTTTATTCATTTCTGAAAACTTATTTTTATTTGAAAATTATTTTATGATATTTTTTAACTAACTAATTTTAACTAACAGGAAGTCTAAATATGAAACTTACTCTTGCGTCTTCAAAATTGCGTGTCTCAGTAGCCTCAAACAAGTAGCAAGACCCGTTGTAAGATACCCAGTCATCGTCACATGAGCTGTGAGGACATGTCAATTTCGGACACTTTGCTTCGACGACCTCTGCTAATTAAATAGTTTCATTTTGCAAATGAAATCAATGAAAATATTGTGAGAAACGAAATAAATAAACATTTAGATTATTTTGTATAAAGCCATTAGTATGAAGACGTTATACAACATAAAGCCGCAACTGTTTAAACGATGATACCCAGTAAATCATGGCAATACTATTAGAGTTATAAATATGGGCTTACTAGTATTACGAATTACTTAACTTGTGTCTTTATTTATATGATATGATAAACAAACCTTTGACATTTTCCCTCAAAGATTGTATCCTCTCTCCAACATCTTTGACAAGGTTGCTTATCATGTAAAACTCATATTCTGTTTCATTAAGGCACAAGCTTTTTGTGCACGTAAAATATCCAAATACCAAAATCCAGCTGACAGAAATCATCTTCAGTTGTTCGTTTACGGTTTACCAGTGTTGTCCTCAAACGCCCGACCAGTCAACTGATGCTTTACACCAAAAGGTCGCTGTGAAAGGTTATTGCGCATTGTTATTCATCACGAATAGTACCAGATTTTTTTGTTAATATTCCTATATAACAATAACGAAGGCCACGTACTAAAAGTTTAAATTAATAGGTTTTCGTTTCGTCATTTTTAAAAATATTGAAGCAAAAATATTTTTAAAAAATGTGTTCAAATAAATAAGGTTTATTTTTGTACTTATTATGGATAATTGATGGAATAATGTGAGTCTTTCCATTTTCTGTTTTTAAACTGTCATGTAAATTTTGTCCTACGTGTATATTGAAGATAATCCATTCATTAAGAATATATTCACAGCCAATACTAGCTAAAAATAAAAGCAAAATTCAGGGTGAAGGTCTTTTATGAGTGAAGGTTTAGTTCAGTCTGATGTACTTGAAGGTCCTGTCCAAAGAGTTGTTGGGTCCAAGTTTGAAACAATCCCTTGAGAAAAAGAAAAAAACAATGCTAAAGTTTCGGACGGAATCGGCAACAGCAACGGCAGCGCCACGACAACACGGCTGTAGCAATAGCTCTGTTTTGTCAGAAAATTCGAGTTAATATGTGTATTAAAGTATCCTGATGACAATGACGAAATATACTTAAAATATCGAAAAAGTCTAGGTATATAACTAAATTTATTGAACGAGTTGAATAAAATGATATCAATATGCGATCATCTTGTAAACATAATATGTTGTACTATTCAACGTTTTCATTTAATTAAATGACTACAAGTCAATGCTGCTTTAAAATGATTTTTTAATTTTTTATATAAATTCGTTGTTTAAAATAATATTTATCCCATCATATACAGGGCTGGGAATCAAAACTGCGTCGTATCCTACAAAATATAAACAAACGCCGCCATGTTGGAACGAAAACCGTATGTTTTTGTTTATAACTCTGTTGTTGGAAATGACTGAAAACCAGATATATGTATTAACACGCTCAATATTGTTCGATTCGTTCGCTATATGTTGCTTGCATAACTATTTTGTAAAACAAACATTATAGCGAACTTGCAACTCGAAGCGGGGCAGCATTTATATGAAAATGTGTGCGTACGAAGCAGTTCATATTGCTCTATCTATCATTTTTTTCCTTCAGTCAATCATATGCTCGTTTTGAGATTTCACCAGGAATTTAATAAATTTAATTTCACCATATATTAAGTAAATAAATTTTGCGCAATCAAAGTAATAAGTAAGGCAAAGGGTAGTGAGCATTTTTAATGCTCTGACATTTTGTTCATAGTATTGGTATAGACCTAAATCAAATGTTTTAGATATCTTGAAAAAATTCTGACTGAGTCATATCAAAGAATACCTTAGTTGAGTGACCTTAATAAGCACTGTCATCTTAGGATAAAAAAAATAATAGAATACCTTTAATTGTCGCTATTTCTTGTCTTAGTTCGTTAAGTTCTTTATCTTGTTTTCTGTTTTCTGCGTTGATTTCTGAAGATTTATTATTGATTGCTTGTCTTAGCCCTTTAAGTTCTGTTTCTTGGCTACCATTTTGCTTTCTTGAGAACTTTTAATTTCTGCTTGAGTGGCATTTATCTGTAAGTCAATACGATCAATACGATTTATCTGTTCAGCGAGCTGGATTTTAAAGTTGTTAAATTCTGTTCGAAGTTGACGCAGACGTACCATTAAAGATATGGTTCTAGAATCAGAGGGGTAAAAGATATAATGCTTGAATCAATGGGGTACAGGAATGGTTCCTGAACTAGATGGGTTAAAAATATGGATCTTTGATTAAAGGGAAACGGGTAGGGTTCTTAAATTAGAGGGGTTACAGTACAAATGATGTTGAGATCAGGAAGTTTTAAAATGTTATGTATTATGACACTGCTATTCATTACTACAATTAATGATAAAAAATGAGGAAAGTATTATGAGAGAATTAATAGAAAATGAAAATTAATATCTGTGATATTAACTTCCTGCTTTCAAATCCTGTATTCATATCTTTTTTTAATGATGATATTTATTACTTAAATTTTGCATTGCGGAAATAAAATAGAAAAGAAAAAGCAAATAAATCTATTTTGTCACTTGGCTTCATTATGATTTCAGAAGAAAGTAATTTTAAAAAATGTACGAAAGTAAAAATTTTAGTTCAGTATTTGTAAACACAAGTAATCATAGAAGACTTTAAAAAGCTATCGAGCTTAAATAAATGCGTATGAACCAAAGCTTATTTCTTGTGTTTTGTTACAGTTTCTTGAAAAAATACTTATTTACCATATAACTAAGCCATCTTTGGGTTCTTGAACATTAGTAAAGTTTAAATCACTGTTTGAAGTTCGAATGCGAGTAATTACATGAATATCATGACGACGATGCGTATCCGAACGACAAACTATGATTTTATCAAGAGATACAAATTCTGAAGCACCCCCACCCTCGCTGCCACAGCAAAGTCAATTTCATCTAAATCATTATAACAAATACCCCTCATTTCCTCCTTAAGTTTGGGAAAAAGTCGCTGGGACTTCTGTCTGGGGAATAGGATGGTTAATGGTTTCCCTATCATAACGCTCTAGCAATGCGCGCCGTGCTATGTTGCGTAGTCATGTATAAGTATTGTATCGGCTGCCAATGGTTCGGGTCTCTTTCTACGGATTACCTGGCTCAGCGATTGCCTCCTCAAAGTATTTCCCACTAAAGGTTTTACAACTATCGACCTTGTGACTTTGTGACTAATGAGAATTAGTGAAGCTTGGTGTGTGCCACTCAGCTAATTGTCTTTTTAGCTCCGGTTCATACGACCTCAACCACGCTTCATCGATAGCAACGATTCTTGATTACTCGTTACCTCTGTAGACAGTTTACCTCGAAATAGATTTACCCGTCATTACAGAAAAGCGGTGTTTTATTCTTTTCCTTCAACATTACATATTAATTATTTTCAGAATAGCAGTTACTAAACTGATATTCTCATTATGCATTTTTTTCTAAGCGTATGAACTTACAACTTCATTCATAACGGTTCATCCTAAAAACTATTCAATAAATACATTCATAAAAGGCGTGCGGAAATGGTGTTATTTAAAGCACGCGACTTGTCTTACATGGGGGTATAAGATAGAGTTTTCTAGCGCCAGTATAAACGGTAGATAATCCTGTTTGATATACAAGATTCTGTTGTTCATGATTCATGAATTAGATGTGTAATACTTTAAAAACGCCATAGTTAATTACATTTTTATAAACAATGTCACAAAGGGTGTTGAACATACATGGCAATCGTTAATTTCCTGTTTCTTACGTATATACTATAATAAATCCAAAGAACTATAATTCCGTCTCATTTAGAAGTAACTATTTGTGTATTGTTATTGTATTACTTTTGTTCAGTACTTTTTATATTACAATAAAGGATTGTGTTTTCGTATTCCATTCTTTGCAAAATTAAAAAACAATTTTAAAACAAATGTCAAAATTTTATCATAGTACATTCATTTTTAATAAGTTTTGTTCATCGCTCGAAATATATTGACAACACACTTAGTTTCATTTCATTGAATGCACTTTTGTGTTATGTCCTAAAATGATAATTGTCTGAATAAATATTGGTTTCATAACGTTATTTCGTCCTGTGACCTTTTTATGCAACCAACCAGAAATGTTTAAACAACATTGATAATGGCCACTCAAGGACCATTGCTGCGAAGTTTATTTAAAATCAAAGTTCAGATATAGTTCAAAGACAGTCATTGACGGACAAAGGGCGAAATAAAAACTAACAAAGAGCACGTTGAGAGAAAAAATCTTCAAACAAAAAAGATTTTACTATAATAATAATAATAATGATGATGATGATGATGATGATAATAATAATAATAATAATAATAATAATAATAATAATAATAATAATAATAGTAGTAGTAGTAATAATAATAGCCATAATTGTAAACAAGACAGTTGTAATTCTAATATATTTAGCTTTCATCATAAGGTATATATGTTAATTACATTCAGATAATTTCATTCTTCATTTTTAAACCCTTGAAGTGATATGTTATTTCAGACTAATTTCTGACTAATTGTTCTAATGTTAATAAGAACAATTAATGTTATTTAATACAATGATAATTAAAATGATGACGATTTTATGCATTCAAATGTGACATTTTGTTAAATGTTTGAAACATTATCAACCTTTTTTAGTATAATGAAGTTCTACTTCAACACAATTTATTCTATATATTAAGAGATTTTAAACCCTTGAAAAAGCGTGACTTATTTTTTTGTTTGTGTCCAACTTAATTTCCTTCTTCCTCCTGCATATGTATCTGTTTTAAGACAAAAATTTTAAATGGCCCTTGTATGTTACATTTACAATCTTGTAGTTTTATTTAAATTCACAATGGCGATGTAATAGATTTTCTTGTCTAGGAATACTTTAGGCGCATCTCCGTGCAATATTCCATGCACGACCGAGCACCTGAGTAAAACTATCATCCTTTCGTAGGCGTGACAAAAGAAAATCCTAGTGGATTTGAACCTATAGTCGTGACTGAGTAGTGGCTTGACAGTGGTTCCATTGATAATGTTTGAAATCTCAAAAAGAGAACCACATACATTGTACGAGACCCAGAATAGTATTCTAGAAGCAATGTTGAAATATCTTTATATAGTCTACAATATTTATATTTAATATTAAACGAACGCAAATGAAAAATCTTCGTTTTCATAAGAACAAATGTTTCGTAGCTTTGTTCGTTTGTTTGACTGTTTTTACGCCGATTTTTAACATATTTCGATCATTTGTCGATGGTTGGTTCAAACAGTCGAATTTCCTGGATAACTAACCAGCAATGTTCAATTCTCCGTACGTGACCGATAACCAATCCCCAGTTGTTTTTTTGTATTAGCAGTAAACGACAAATGTCTACTAGACGTAATGTCTGAGATCAATTGTGATGGAAAAATTTTGCCTTGCTCGAGGATCGAACAAGTGCCCTCAGGATTACAAATCCAATATTATTCCTATTGATTTTAGCGGGGATGGGAAGGAAAAGACTTATATTGTTGTAAAAAATTTAATAAAGTCAAAGTATTTTTATAGTTTTTTTTATTCATAAAATCAAAATATTTTATATAGACTTTTTTATTCAAGTCTTTCTTAAACATATTGAAAGAATACAACACATACAGGAAAAGTAAACTGTGTCAACAGAAAGCTGAAGAAGAAACAGAAAAATACGTTAAATACCTATCATATTGCAGGTGGTCCTTCGAACTAACTCTATTTTAAGGAGTCACTTATAAATTAAACGCTTGTTTTTCAACAAAATGTAATGAATTCTGTACATAAATCAGACTCGTCCAATTTATTTGATAATTAAGATTTCGCATTTATTATCTAGCAAAATTTGAGAGAAAAAAAGATTGCCGCACTAAATATTGAGTACAATTAATTTCCATTGCATAACAAAGGTAATGCTTATATAATGCTGCTTGACAAAAGTATATTCAGCAACTAATTTCATTATATATATAAAAACACGCATACAAACGCATTACATAGAAGTTCACATCTCTAGCTATTTAAAGTACATTAGTATGTAATATTTATGAATAGCCGGCGTCAATGTTTGTAGACTCATTAAACATTCACAGATATTTTTCTGAAAGAAAACATTATACATATTATTCTAATCGTTATGGTCATGCATAAAATATAGCATGAAATGAATGTAATTGAAGAGAATGTTTTTCTTAATAGTTCGCAATGTATGAACACTTATTCTATCCTATTAAAATGAAATCAATATTTACTTTCTTGTTTCCTATTTGGTATCAAATGTTTTGTATTTAAAATTTCTGACATATCATAACGTACCAATTTCTTTCAAAGTAAAAAGAACTTAAGAAGCGGTTTTCATAAAATTTAAGCAAAACGTAAATTTTTTTTATTTAGGAAATAGATATCAATTCTGAGTGCATTGTTGTAGAATAATGCACGGTTTGAGTTCAAATGCGTAGTAATATAATCACGAAGGCCGATAGGCCTGAGTGATTAATTACAAAGCATTTGAACGAAAAACGTACATTATTATACAATAATGCTCGAAGAATTTAAATCTTTTTTCATTCTAACACGTCAAGAAAAATATAATTATTATTATTAAGTTGGACTTAATGCTTGGTGGTAATTTTTTTTTCGCCTCAGAGTTTTCAATAGAAACGTTCTTTAAAGGCTGTTCCAGTGGGTTGCAAAAAACTGTCGTTAAATCTATCGTGTGTAGAAACATTTTGAGAATAACGAATTTTGAAAACGTTGATAAAACTTTGTTTGTTTATTTTATTTCACTCTATAATTTTTCAAGCGAAAAACAAATTATTAAAAGTGAAAAAAATGTAAAACATAACTCGTTTGCGACATTAAAATAAGGTATTTAATTGTTTTGCACGTGCTGTTTGGCGCTACATTGTGACGTCACGTAAACAACACTTTAAACGTCTGTACAGCGTTAACGACTGAATTAAAGATATTGGTGTTCGGATTCATTTTCTTAGTTAGACCATTTTCTTTCATTCTAGATCGTTTTCACAACAAAATTCGACAAAAAATGTTTTTTATTTGTCAGATTTTTCAAACAAAGTGGCGCTCTAAATGTGAAAATACACAGGGGGGTATTAAGAACGGCGATTGCATTGTTGTAGAATAATGCATGCTTCGGGCCTTCTTTGTTTATATAGAAAAATGTTTTAGTTTATTTATATTGTATAATAATTTAAATATGTTAACTCTTTTTAGATTTTGTGTGTTAAATCATACTGACCTCTTTTGCAAATATAAGAATATTTGCTTGCACATGGTACATCATGCCACTGATAATTATCACTACTGCTGAACACAACGCAATTTTCAGCGGTGCGACCATGTGGCTGACCTAAAGATCAAAAATTAATAAAACCGTGTAATTAAAACGGAATTTATGTTTTGTAATAGGTATTGTCTAGAAATAAACAATCGTTGTTTGTGTAATTGTTTATAATATAAACAAAATGGAAAACATTTTATCTGAGACAAATCATACATTTTCTATAGAAAATAAAACTCGGTAAATTTCACTTACTGGGTGCCCATTTAATAAATTTTGCCGGTGCATTTGTGTCTATCCATTTCCAATTTCCCTCTGTACTTTGGTCGGTTAATCCATTAAACCAACTGTTGCTTGCTATTTATTAATAATTGTTTAAAGATGTAACGTTACCAGATATACTAGATATTATAATAATATAATCTATAAGCTATAAATATCATTAAATACCATTAATGAATGAATGAATGAATCATCGATTAATATTTATTTGATGACAGTTAACTTATTTTTCATAGAATACAAACACGTACCTTAACGTTATTTGTAACTACTTTATTTACCATGCGAAGCGTCCACCTCTTGTCTTATTTGAATGTAATTTTATGATATGGATCAAATATTCATGTTTTTTTATCAATTCTCATGCATGTTTATGTAAGTTTATGTGTTCAATTTATTCTAATGATATAAAACAAGTAATTAAAAATCGATTAACGAGCATTTACTCTATGAGAACACATTTAAAAAACAATGATTAAAGGTATTAAATTAAAGAAAATATATTTCTCACATTTAAAACGGCCGAGCATTCTGAGAATGAAGGAGTTTTCTGCATTGTCTTCGACGTACAAAAGGCTAGCAGCATTCTGCTTGCAGAATTGCTAAACGAATAAACAATTCAAAATGATAGTTAAATATTGTTCCTCATCTTTGAGTATAGTCATTTTATGAGGAATTTTGCTTTTGTTATATTTTTACTTACATAAAAGGGCCTGTTTTTATTGTCTTGAAATTCTATTAAAACAGTGTATTTAATTATAAGCCATAAAGTATTGGTTGAAGTGAAACAAGACATTTCAGTTTATAGCTATGATACTTGCCCTTGCTTCTTCGAATGTTGCTGTTTTGGTATTCTCAAAATAATAGCAAGAATAGTTGTAGGAAACCCATTCGTCACCACATGAACAGACAGGACATGACGCCGCAGGACATTTCGTTTTTATCACTTCTATAAATAAAATCAGTGGAATGTATACAGAAAAATGACTAACAATTAGTTAATTTTGTATCAATACGTCTTTGCGTGTATGCAATTGCAGGCTTTTAATTATAAAAAAAAATCAAAATGGTTGCAGACTATTTTTAAAACATTTTATTTTCAATAGAACTTTTAATAATTAGTTATAAATCAAACCTTTTACGTTCTCTCTCAAAGACTGTATCCTTTTCTCAACATCTTTAACAAGGCTCCCTAAAATGTAAAAATCATATTCTGTCTCGTTAAGGCACACATCGTTTGCTTTGACAAATGTAAAACATCCACAGACTATAAGCGCACTTACAAAAATTATCTTCATTTTTTTAAAATTATGTTTGTGTTTTCGGCAGACTCACGCGATTTCAAATGAATTTCAAAATGTAAAGCAGACTTAAATAGTTGTTTACCATATCTTAAGAGGGAGGTCTAAGATATTTATCTCATACATTGCTTGGATGAACATACGTGATATTTTGCAAGAGTGCATTGAGACAACTACGTTAATCAAACAATCTTTCCCGCTCGACCCAATTTCACAAAAAAATTGAGTTGAAAGGACACTAATATATTTATTTTCGGACCGATATATTTCAATCATTCATTCACTCACTCACTCACTTTGTTTCATGAATAATAATTTTAATTGTGCAATATCAACCAATAATGGAAAAAAATGTTGTTTAAACGATAAAGGACCATCATTCATGTACGAGCGGGCTTGTGGTACATAATCGTATCTCAAAAATATTCTCTCATCTGATCTTATAAAACATTGCTGAATTATAGAGGAAGCTGTTCCCTGTAAAAAAAAGATAATAGGACGTTAATGCATTGTCCATACATTTACATTTGCAAAGCACGAAGACACATTAAAGTCAATGCATGCATTAGCACTAGTCTTGTTATAGTACAAGTAATTCGGTAATTCCACGTTTCGTCATTCGTTTTTAGTATTAAATTAAAGTAAATAAAAGATTTTTTTCTCATTTTCGAAATGCGATGTCATAAGACAATAGTGTTTTGAGATTTCCGGGGCCCTCATGATTGTCAGCTCTGACTCAGCATGCATTGCTTTTTAACGGTGCAGAAGGGGGCGTGTTCGTGTGATTTTTTCTGTTAAAGCATGCTTCTGTTTTCCGTAAATGTATATTTGCGTGCGAAATTTTTTATACAAGATTGCGATGAATGAATCTTATAATATAAGTTAATGGTTGCTTAATAAGAAACATACAACATACGTCTTTGCATGCAGAATTTGGCATATTCCCATTGTACATAAATAGGTATGTACGTTAAATTAAATACTGGCTTAAATAATATGGCCGAATTTAGGATAAATATATTCTTACTACTACTGTTACAGATCAAATATTTTAAGTCAATAACAAAAAATGCTATTAATATTAATTGGTCGCCGAAAGTATATGCAATATTAAAGAATACAGGATTTGAAGATGTTTAGGAATTTTCCTAGTCAGTTGACATAGATGTATTTATACCAGTAAAACTCCTTAAAATTCTTAGAGGTGTTCATATGATTGACTGGCGAGCTAGTGTTCAGACATGCTATTTTAAATAAGATAAGTCTACCATTGATATGATTACTCAAATCACTCTGTTGTAATTTGTTTAATTTAGATACTTCTCGATTTGTTACAATGTTAATTTTTGTTATTTATGATTTATTTGATTATGAACAAATTAACTAGAATAGTTTATAGCAACAGGATTATTTTAATTGAAAAACTTAAAAAAAATGAAGAATATTTGGATTTATTTTTTGACAAATTTAAATACGGTATTACGCCTGAATATTTTCTGTCGCCTATATCAGACTAACAAACACACGCTATAAATGAAGGAGTTCAAACGATACAAGCGAAATAATTGGCGCAGTACGTATTTTTCCCGACTGAAATAGATGATAGGAACAAATAACCACTTACTATACGGAATTGTCTTTCACGTTATATGCAAAGTTTACATCAAAATATTTTGATCATGGTGGACGGAAACTTCTAATACTCCATGAAAGATTAAGCACGAAACAAACGCTGCTTTTACTTATGAAATAATTCTCCAACAACGTTATCTGTATGCGGACTAATTTCATTCTTTTTTCTTTTATTTTGGTTTATCGACGCTTAAATGAAAATATACAAAATTTATAACACAGTCGTCTAAATAACTTCAGCTGTACACTGAACATTTTACTTTAGGGCAATCCAAACATCTCAGACACTGATTATGTCATTATCTTTAAGCACGTTTATACTAAAATCTTACACGGCAGAGTAGGGCCAGAAGGGCTGGGGGGGGGGGCTGGCTATTTTTCATTTTATAGACTGATAACCACTTTTTGGTTCCAACAATGACGTGTATACTCTTGATATTTGATATATTTAAAAGTTGCACTTTTTGTATTTAGATCTACTTTAATATTTCTTTCACTTACAAAGAATCAAAGAGACAAGTTTTATTTTCCCTGAAACAAATTGCGTATTTTTGTTATTCAATTTTCAATTTTAAAACTGTGTTTGTACAAATTACGCGTAAGTGATCGTCATACAATCAAGCGATCTATACTTAAAATCCAGAAGTAATGGATTATTAATCCCCCATCATTTTTGAGTCAGCGATGAGAGACTACCAGACTTAATATCTGAGATTATTTGTGACGGAGAAATATTGCCTTGCCCGAGAATCGAAATAAAAATACTTCATACAGATTGTTTTTTAAACATATTGCAAGAGCATGACACATACAGGAAACGTAAACTGTGTGAACAAAAGTCTGAGGAGGAAACAGAAATACTTCAAATACCAATCATATTGCAAGTGGTACCTCGAACTAACTCTATTTTAAGAAGTCACTAACAAATTAGACGCTCGTATTTCAACAAAAAATGTATGAATTATGTACATAAATCAGACTCGTTAAATATTTTTGTAAATAAGAGTTCGCATTTATTATCCAGCAAAATTTGAGGGGAAAAAAAGATTGCCACACCTAATATTGAGTACATTTGATGTCCGTAGTATAACAAAGATAATGTTTATAGAAAAGTATATACAGCAACTAATTTTATTATGTACATAAAAACACGCACACAAAACAACCTATAGACGTTCACATTTCTAGCTATTTAAAGTACATTTGTATGTTATATTTATGAATAGCCAGCGTCAATGTTTGTAGACTCATTCAACATTCACAGAGATTTTCCTGAAAGAAAACATTGAAAACATTATGCATATTATTTTATTCGTTATGGTCATGCATAAAATAAAGCATGAAATGAGTATTATTGAAGTAAATGTTATTTTTTATAGTTCGCACTGTATAAACACTTATTCTATCCAATTATAATGAAATCAATATTTACTTTCTTGTTTCCTATTTGGCATCAAATGTTTTGTATGCAAAATTTCAAACATCTAATAAGGTATCAATTTCTTTCATTCAAAGTATCAAATCAAGAAACGGTTTTCAATAAATTTAAGCATAACGTCAAATTTCTTTATTGTGATTTTTGTACATGAAAAATAAAACACGCCTGCATTCCGACAACAATTTCTATAATTATAAATATTTTTGTTTATTTATTTTGTATAATTATTCAATTATGTTTACTCTTTTTAAATTTTGTGTGTTAAATCATACTGACCTTTTTTGCAAATAAATGAATATTTTCTTGCAAATGGTGCGTCATGCCACTGATAATTATCATTTTGATAAAAAATAACGCAATTTTCAACAGTGCGTCCCTCTGGCTGACCTTAAGATCAAAAATAAATTACCATGTAATTAAAACAGAATTTGTTGTGCTATGTAACAGGTATTGGCTAAAAATAAACAATCGTTGTGTTTATAAACGAATTGGAAAACATTTTATCTGAGACAAATCATATACATTTTTACTGTAGAAAATAATACTAACTCGGTAAATTTTACTTACCGGGTGCCCATTTAATAAATCTTGCCGGTGCATTTGTGTCTATCCATTTCCAATTTCCTTCTATACTTTGGTCGGTTAATCCATTAAACCAACTGTTGCTTGCTATGTATAAATAATTGTTTAAAGATGTAACGTAACCAGATATACTAGATATTAAAATAATATAATCTATTAGCTATCTTAAGTTGATTCCGTTAATTACTTAATTAATTACCATTAAATACCATTAATAAATGAATCATCGTTTGATCAATTTATTTGATGATAGTTTACTCAATTATCAAAGCATACAAAAACGTACCTTAACGTAATTTGTAACTACTTTATTTACCATACGAAGCTTCCTACTCTTGTTTACCATACGATGCTTCCTACGTATTTGAATACAATTTTATTGATATGGATCAAACATTCATGTCTTTTTCATCAATTCACATGCAAGTTGATGTAAGTTCATGTGTTCAATTTAATTTTAATGATAAAAAATGATATAAAACGAGGTATAAAACATCGTTTTACGAGTTTGGAAACTATGAGAAGACATTTCAAAAACTATGATTATTGGTGTAAAATTAAAGAATATATATTTCTCACATTTAAAACGACCGAGCATTCTGAGAATGAAGGAGTTTTCTGCATTATCTTCAACGTGCAAAAGATGAGCAGCATTTTGCTTGCAGAATTGCTGAAAGATTAAAGCATTTACATATAATAGTTAAAAATTGTTTCTTTCCTTTGAGTATAGTCATTTTTTAAAGTAATTTTGCTTTTGGTATTTTTTACTAACCGAAAAAGTGCCTGCTTTTATTTTCTTGAAATTCTATTAACACAAAGTCTTTTATTAGTAGCTCTAACGTATTGTTGGTTGAAGTTAAACGAGATATTTCAATTTACTTTAATGATACTTGCCCTTGCTTCTTCAAATGTTGCAGTTTTAATATCCCCAAAATAGTAGCAAGAGATGTTGTAGGAAACCCATTCGTCACCGCATGAGCTGTCAGGACATGGCGCCGCGGGACATTTCTTTTTTATCACTTCTATGAATAAAATCAGTGAAATGTATACAGAAAAATAACTATAATTTATTAATTTTGTATCAATACGTCTTTGCATTTATGCAATTGCAGGCTTATAAATATAGATAAATCTATTTTGATGTAAGACTATTTCTAAAACATATGTTTTTTTAATAGAACTTTAAATTATCAGTTATAAATCAAACCTTTGACATTATCTCTCAAAGACTTTATCCTTTTCTCAACATCATTAACAAGGTTCCCTAACATGTAAAAATCATATTCTGTCTCGTTAAGGCACACATCGTTTGCTTTAACAGTTGTGAAACAACCACAGACTATAAGCGCACCGGCAAAAATTATCTTCATTTTTTAAATTAGGTTTGTGATTTTGGCAGACTCACGCGATTAAATGAATTTCAAAATTTAATGCAGGCTTAAATAGTTGTTTAACATATCTTTAAATGCCTTAGATGTTTATCACATCCATTGCTTCATCATGCGTGATATTTTGAATCAGTGTATTGGGAAAACTACGTTTATCAATCAATCTTTCCCATCCGACTCATTCTTAAAAAAATGGACTTGAAAAGACAAAAAAATTTATGTCCGGATCAATAGCTTTTGTGCATTTGCTCACTCACTTATAAACGTTTGGCTAACAGTTGCTCACAACTCAAAAGTTTGTATCTCTGTATCTTTTATTGTGTTAACGTAAATGCATGAATTATGACGGACAGGAGTAAGACTTAATTTTTCTCCCTTTCGTTCCTTTTCCATTGTTACTATTGTCGTTTGGAAAGGTGGTCGATGTGTTTTGCATGCAGACTTTTGGGACCATAATAAATGTAAGAACATACCTCTGATTGACATTTAAGGTGGGGTATAGTATCGAGGAGGAATGTAACCTGAAAACAAATTACAAATTCTCTGGCAGTGAATTAATAGACGAATCTATTATTATCCTATTTGAAACGTTTTCTCTCGACTGATCACATAAAACAATGCTGAATTAAAATGGAAGCTATTAATTGTAAACATAAATGATAAAGAATCAATGCATTTTCCCGTTCATTTACATCTGCAGAAACACGAGGTCAAATTATAAGCCCGACCATGCATTAAATTTATAGCGATATTTCTTTTTTTTTCAAGCGTCACTAATTCGGTTATTCCAAGTTTTGTCACTCATTTTACGTAAGAAACCAGTTTTCTTATGTTATTTTTCATTTTCGAGTACGTTGTCGTTTGACTGTTGTGTTTTGTAATTACCGGGGCCGTCAGTGCCGTCAGTTATTTTTTCATTGGCCGCTGAGTCAATGCGTGTGCAGTTTTTATGCAAGTTGTTATCCTTACTACAAAGTGATTTACAATATAGAATAAAATTAACTTTGCAAATGTGCTTAAACGTTAACAACTTTAAAAATGAAGAGAAAAAACTTTAAATGCAAACATCCTTCTTATATTCTTATTGAAATAATTTGCTTTTTTACAGACTTGTATATCCAGAAACGTTATTATTATTATAATGTACTAGTATGCATAAAACAAAGTAAAACAAATACAGTTTCATACTTAAACAGTAATAAATGTTACATATATTACACATGGAGGACATTTTTAACGGCTTCCTGCGGATGGTACAGCATTCTACTTGACATACCATACATGAAAACCTTTGCCCTATATCTAAAAGTCCTACGGAATCATGAATTATAACGTTTCAATCTTTATGTATCATTTTAATTTAGCTCATTAAAAGGTACAGAGGGTACGGTATCAACTTGACATTCTTGTCACTTAATTTCAAGAATTTGATATTCTACCTTTCTCGGAGAGGATCTATTGTTTTTCCATACAAAAAAGATCGTGTTGGTTACATCCACGATGAAGTCATACTTACAACTAAGGACCAATGAATCTTTTAAATTGCTTTAAGTTTCAGGAAATAATAGTCGATTTAATTAGGATGTTTGTGAGGAAATAGTCACCTAGTGAAACTTTTATTAATTACACATTTTAACATATTTAATGCATTTGAAACAAAATGTATTAAGTTATACCAAAACATAGTTCTTCCTCCAATGCTGTAAAATAGAGATTGATTTCTCATTTCCATCCACTTTCTGAATTCAGTAGATTAGTGCAATCAATTTAAGTCAAGTTTACTTTTTTAACAAGCTTTGTAGGCGCACATTTGTCTCTGGGCACATTTGTCTCACGAGATGTGACCGATGTACTCGTAAACATTCATGTGTTCGACACACAAAAAAGGACACTCGAAGCACATTGTCTCACATTTTCCCCATAAAATTCTACAAATTTAATAGTTATGCCCGTTCGTAAACCGGCTACCAGCCATTGTCTTGTGTGTTTTTTGTATTTATGATACCGTTTTTAGGTCACTTCTGGTCAATCAAAAACTTCCTGCCTCTGCATAGGAGTCATATATTTACTTAAAGAATATCCCTGTTTTGCATGTTACAATGAAAATTTCTACCAGTGCAGCCTCAAGACCCCAAATATGCAGAGAGTCCATTCTTATCGTTATTATTTGTGACACGTTCCTTTTGCGATACTTGAAGTTTTATAAATGATTTAAGAAATATTCTAAGCAACAACAAGGCAGTATCTACGGTGGCAAAAAGGGGACAGAGGATTTACAGTGGTACTCAATGATACTCAATGGCCTCACTATGGTAAATAAACAAGCGCGGAAGCCATCTGGCATTGTCGGGTAATGGCGGACAGGTTATCGAACACTACTTTATTTACTCTACATGTCCATATACGTCTTGACACTAGCTGGTTTCTGTTTTAATTTCATCATAGGTATGTTTTTGATATTTTGGTAGAAAACCTGCGGGCAAAGGTTATATTTGATAAAGTGAAATTCAATGGCATATTTTTTAGTGATTCTACGGCTACAATATTTTCTTAGCAAATATATGACCTCGATTTTTCACATTTTATATCAGTTGTATCATTACTCTTTAAAATGAGATAAGGATTTGTTCTCTAAAAGTGTCAAGTTATGCTTTGTAGCTCTTTGAAAAAGTCAGTTTTATATAGAACATAAAGGGAATACAATTTAGCGGTATATGGCCTCGAATGACTTTTTTTGTCTCACGTCGACGTACGAGATGCGAAGCGAGACGCGAGATTCCGGCGAGATGTGAAACAAGTCATGATATTGTATGGTTCAAATATCGCCCGATTACGGTGTTCCGTTTAGACATACGTGCTATTTTTTGTCTCCCTGAACCGCTATCCAAGATGGTTCAATGTTTAAAACGCGATGGTGCGATGATGAAAACACGACGGCACGATGATGAAACAACAATTGTACGAATTATGGTGAAATCACGATGATGTAATGACACGATTCAATCATCATGACATCGCAGTTTCATCTTCGTACCATCGCATTTTTACCATCGTACCATTGTGTTTTTACCATCGTAACATCACGTTTTCATCATCGTGCCTTTGTTGTTTCACGATCTTACTATCGTTGTTTCACCATCGTACAAGTGTTTTTTCACGTTCGTACCATCGCATTTTCATCATCGTACATCGCGCTTTGGTGCTTAGAAGAATCATATCTTTGTATATATTTGTTTTCTTCAAATACAATTTCCTCACAAATACCAATTTGCTTAACAACAAAATGTAAATACTATATTTGTCAAGTTTACATTTTAAGAATATTTGAAATAAACAAGGCTTCACCACGTACACAATGTATAGTATGATATGTATCTATCTAATCCTTTTGTTTACGACATACCATCTGTCATACTTGCTAGTTACAAATAAAGTTTTATATTTAACTTAGATGCGTAAACAGATATTTATTGTATATCAGAAAACTACATCAAAGTACCAGTGATTTGAAAGACGACGAAATAAATTATCTTCCTTCACGAAGATGTAGAACAAAAACATACTTAAACTTTTTATAGCCATGTGAATTCTAACCGAACAAGATGAAAGTGCAAAAAAGCTTTACATTACCACACAAGTATACCAGAAATATATTAAACTGGACGATTTCATGTCACCCACCTATAATTTCCTTGTCATAATTATGTTAAAGAAATGTTAAACGTTTTATATATAGAACTACATGTACTATTTTTGTTAGTGCAACGACAAATTATGAATAAAAAATGAAAATGATGTATGATACACTTGAGACACAAACATTTACTCCTAATTGAATGATTTAAAGTCACGTTAGACGACTTATAGACATAATGTTCGTTTAAAAGGAGGACTATGGATTCTGTCTCACCAATGGAGCAATACAAATAACAAATGTCCTCTAAATCAGTATTTAATAATTTACTACAATCCCAATCAACCTTCACACTAAATTATAAGACTAATCTATTACTTAATTGTTATTACACTATTCTATTATTTTTATTAATTATTTTATATAATAGCTAGTTATTTTCTAGACAACGTGTTATCCTCGGTAGTGTGTTGCATGACATGGTTAATACCCATTATTATATCTTATTTAATTATTTTCATATTTTTATGAGTGCAATTAACTTGCTTATTATATACTTAAAAATGAAAGATTGGTGAAATAATATGCGTATTTGTATTTTCCGTATTTTCACTGTAAAAATCTATTTCTCACTGGTGTCTTGCCGGAATACTTTCTTTTAAATCTAGCCTATATACATCTTGTGGTATGCAAATTATCATATTTCACTCGTAGCTACTGCCCTCGTGAAATTTATATCATACCAGTCGATGAAAAAAAAATCCTGTATTTATAAAAAAAAACTTGAATATACTCTATTTATTACCATTCTGTACAATGTGATACTGCAATAAAACAATCAAGTGCAATGGAGTTCTTTATACATGTATAAGCAAATACTAAATATTGTAAATACAAAGGATTAAATATAGTTTTCTGAAATGATAATGTATCGAAAAGATTGATACAAAAATTAGAAATCTACATCATTGTATTTTGGTAAAAAAATATTTAAAAACATCAAACACTATTTTCTATTCTTACTTTACTGTACACAAAGACATTTTAACTTCTCTGTATTTGGCTAAACTTCCTTCTTCCTCCATGTGTACCAATTTTATGAGAGTGATCATGAAAGACATGTGTAGGTTATATTAGTCATAGATTTTCTGGTAGAGGAAAACCTCAGACACATCTTTCAATATTCCTGGCACAAGAGAGCAACTGACTAGAACGACTAATATTATGTTCTACAGACAAATGATAAATAAAAGACACTGGCGAAAGATGTCCTGTTAGCTCAATAGGTAGATCGTTGGACTGTGAATCGGGCGTCCCGGGTTCGTTTCCCGGACGGCGCAGTTCACTTTCGTTATGGTTGATCTTGAAATTCTTTTATATGGTTATTCGCACTGTACCTCTTCTCTGGCATGTAAA